TAAGCTGACGTAAAACGGTATACAGAATACAATTCTGCAAATAAAACAACATTAATGGAAGATCACTCTTTAATTGAATGCTCACATATTGTTAACCGCGTCATAGTCATCTATTCATACTTTTTCCTTCTCTTTATGTCAGTTATTTTTTCCCATGTTGAGTTTTTGCTAGTTACGTTTTGGGAACAAAAAAGGATAAATGAAATGTATTGTTAAACTGATACAACTTCAAAACATCTGACTTTCATTTAAAAGCCCTTCCAATATATTTGGAAGAATATGGGGTCTATTCTTCCAATTCACTATGAGGTTATTTCCTACTCATTCCAGATTAAAGGAAATTAACTGGTTTAAAGTGGAATACATATTATGGTTCTTTTTTGTATGGCCTAGTTGAAATGCTGGTGTACTGACTTGTCTATTATTGACATGTTTATTATCCGATGACAGTTTTTTTTTGGTAATGGTTGTTGTGTTATTTAAGTTTTCTCAGTCTTTGTTTTTTGTTGTTTAGAAGTATGTCAATTGTCCCTTTTAGAATGTCTTTGTATAAAAGGTAAGATACACCTTTTAATTTTTTTTAAATGCTCTGATGATGCAAATGTATGTTCATAAAACCCACCTATAGCAAAAATTCAGAAACATGTTTTTACCAGACGAACGCCTTCTTCTCACACATTCCTCTCCTGTCATCCATGCAATTTTTGACCTCCATCCCCATCTTTTGTACCCCATTTTGCAGTAGCCTCTTTTTCCCAGCGCTTTATTCTCTCCTTCTCTCTGCCCTGTTCCCCTCAGTTTCCCAGCAGCTCACAGTGAATTAGATCTCACCCACTGCTCCCTCTTTGTGTCCATGATTTCTCTCCATGTTCGTCCCTTCAAACTTTTCGGCCCATCTCTCTCTGTCTGAGAACTGATCTGATGCCCCATGTGTCAGAGTGGAGCCAGCAATGCAACATCCAATCTCTCGCTGTTTAGCAGAGCTGTGGACGGTGGGATCACTGGACCTAGTTGGTATCCCCCCCTACCCTCTCTTTCTCTCTCCCTCTCTCTCCCTCTCACTTGCTCCTCATCTCCCTGTTCACTTTCATTCATTTCTGTGTATGGGCAAGAAGGGCTAACATGGACTCTTTGGGTCTTTGTATCCTTCTTATGCTTCTGTGTTTCCAGTGGACGACGGCCCCTGCTGCTGGTAAGCTTTTTCATCTACAAAATAATCAGCGTCATGTTAGATAGTTTTGTTTTGATGTTGTGGATTTGTTTGGGTGTTACGATGTGAGTACTAGTTGTTGGACTTGAGTTCTTGAGCACTTTAATTGAACTGTAATGATGTTAGGAGCAGCAGTAGATAAGAAGTGATGAAAGTCTTACATATTATAGAGTGATTTGAAATATATAATATTTGTTGTGATGCGTTAAAATGTTCTTTGTTGAAAATCTATTTTGAACCACAGTGAACTTTAAATGGCTGAAAGATAAACGTTTTTCTGAAGTTTTTTCTCTTTTTGTTCTTTTTCAGAGGAAATTACCTGGACCTACACTGGTGAGTTCAAGTTTATTTGTAGCACCACTACTCGTGCAAAGGAACTTCAAAGGTGTAGCAGAGAGTGATAAAAAAAGGCATAGAAAGTGGAAGATGATCTGGGTGCATTTGACATATCTCAGATATAATGAATCATTTAGGACTGGACTATTAAGAGCTTTATAGAGCAGGAGCAAAATCCAAACGTCATGGATAGTATTTTATACGATAGATTTCTGTGTCTCCTAATTCAGGATGATTTGCGGTAATGTAGTCTGCTAATAACAAAGACCTGCACACGTTCACTTAAAATAAGTGCTGCTATCCAATGAATAAGGAGTCTTTGCAAACATTAAAATGATCATCAAATCTTCTGTAAGTTGGGTAGGATTTGTGTTTTCCCCCTCATATCTCCCGACCCCTGCCCCTCTGTTTTCCTCTCCTTCTCTCTCTGTCTGTATTAGTTACAGTTCAACAAGCTGGCACGAGAAAAGCAGCCACAGAGAGATGATGAAGGGGAGGAGGGAGATAGAGAGGAAGAAAGCGAGGAAAAGGCACGGAGTGAGAAAGGCGGAGGGAGGCAGGTGCACGAGGATGAGGGTGTCGCACAGAGAGAGGGAGATGGGACGGGATGAAGCTAAAGCATAGCATGACTCCTGACTTTTCCGTGTGTTCTATTCTTATTTTGTTTTTTAAGTTATATCTGTTGTAATTTATTGTCGTTTATTGTGTTTTGTAGTAATGTGTTTTTTATTACATGTACAGCACTTTGGCTCGACCAAAAATCGCTTTTAAATGTGCTTTATAAATAAAACCTGATTTGATTTGATTTGAGTTGTGTGTGTGTGTGTGTGTGTGTGTGAGTGTGTGTGTGTGTGTGTGTGTGTGTGTGTGTGTGTGTGTGTGTGTGTGTGTGTGTGTGTTATTATTACATTGTGTGGCCATGCATCAGACAGCCCAGTCACGCCGTGGGGTCCAAGTTTTGTGTGGGGTCCAAAACCCTGGACCCCAGAAATGTTAACTCATATTCTTTAAAATGAAGGTCAGAACTATGCCCTGTGAAGTTTTCAGGGTTGTCCCCAAAAATCACTTTTACCGACTTAGTGTGTATAAGTGTGCTAACGGGAGGTAACTCAGTATCGGCCACTACTGGCCAAGGCAGGTACTGCATCCCACACACACATTCCATTCTCCACACACACTTTGCTGAACTGCGCATGTGCAAGCAGCCATCTTCCAACATCTTTAGCTGTTTGATTAGCTGGTAGCACTTAGCTCCTTAGCTTAGTGTCTTTAATGAAATACAGAATGAAAAACACAAATGTATACATTTTTGGTGAGTTTGACTCGTGTTGTCACAATAACAAGCCATGAATCATTAATCACTAATTAGGTAAATGACATAAATATAAAAAGATTTGAGAGATTACAGTGCAATACAGACTACAGCTGCTGTTAGCATAAATGCTAACTTAACATTGAAAATGCCATAGACAAGCTAAACGTTAGCATACATGCTAACTTTACATTGAAAACGGCTTAGACAAGCTAACCGTTAGCATAAATGCTAACTTAACATTGAAAACGTCATAGACAAGCTAACAGTTAGCAAAATGCTAATAAATTATGTTCTAAGAGTACTCAGATCTTGTGCTTGAGTAAACATAGAAGTACTCAGATATTGTACTTTTCACATGTTTCATACTTGATGAGTTTGCATCCCTGTATATATATATAAAATAATACAAATCTAAATGTTCTTAATAAATAGCCTTGTCTTAATGATATGGTCAGATTGGGTCACCTTGATTTAGATATTGGGACATTCCTGATGGGCGGAGAGAGGAATTCTCATTGTGATAGCATGACCACCCTTACAGGATGTGCTGACTGTTTAAAACAAGCGCTCCATATGAGGAGAGAATGGAGAGAACCATGTGGATCTCATTTTGCACTTCACTGGCAGTGAGAGTGTTGCTAATGAAAGGGTAAGTTATGACTATACATTTTTACTTTTAAATGCACATATTTTACTAAACATTAACCAGATAGCTTACATTCAGACTATGAAACTGTGTTTGCATGCTTTAAAATGTAGCAATAAACATGAAGTAACTCAGTAAAAAACTGTTATAGTGTGCTACACTAGCTATAAGTCTATGCTAGCTAGCTAGCTAACGTAGCTAATTTGCTAACATCAGCAGCAGCACCTAGCGTTGAAACACCTGCTTAGTCTGCTTCAATCTATCAGCTGTGTGACAAATGTGACTCTGGAAGATTTTCTTTTTTTTCTCTAAACTTTGTTTCAAATGTATCATGAATCCAAAAATAGCATGTAGGAAAGATTGTGCATGAAGTTAGAAGTGAAAGTTATTTTTAGACCAGAGAGCATTTAATGACACAGGGATTTTCAACTACTAGTCAATAGTGAGTTAATCAATAAAAGAATAATGGTTTTTCCTTTAAATGTTTTAACTTTATATTTAAAAAACTACTTCTACTGCAACACTGTGATTTCCCTGTTTGGATCAATCTTTCTATCCATCTATCTTATTGACATCCAAGTAGTGTTAACATTTGTTATCACACTGGAACCTTAAGTAAGGTAGAGCGTTTTGCTAAATGTATTTACAATATGTTACTGTTTAGTTTTTTCCGGCGCAGTGTTCAGCCATGCTGTCCTCTTTTCCCAGTTTAGTTTCAGTGACATGGATGGGTTTCTATTTCATTTTACTAAGGCTTAAAACTGAGCTAGAACCTATTAAGGCTCAAGTGTACTAAAGGGAACCCAGCAGCATCACCCTGCCCACAGTGTCCTAGATGTAGTTGTCTAATACATAAAGGATTTCAATGAATTGCAATAATTATGGTGGTGTCTGGTCACATTAACGCTTCATGGTTTTTGATTATAGGATAAAAAAAGGGCGGGACTGAGACGCAGGAAACCCCCCCTCACGGATCTCCAACACAAAGGTACGTCTTCAATGGATTTGTCCCTTGTCTACATTTCCCTAATAATTCAGTATTTAACAATTTCCTGTTTTATTGATATTTGCTATTAGCATTTGAATGGACAGTCAGTGTATCTGTAAATCGGTGTATCTCTGAATTTGTGCTGCCGAACACAGTCAGGTTTTTCTGATTAAATGGGGTCCAGTCAGGGGGCCTTTAGCAGAATACTCTCACAAACGCATGTCAGGGGTGCTGTTGTTGTGGGGTCCACGTAACTGTGTTACTAGAACCAAATTAAACTACACTTCTTTCTATTTTTCTGTCCATAAACTGAAGGAAACATCATGTTTGATATGTGTGCTCTAACGTTAGCTCAGTTTGCTTTGTACCAGTCATACCAACTGTACGTGAGAGGTCAATTCATGCTCCCAGACTTCACCTACACCTCTTTTTAACTGTTTGAGTTACATGAGGCAACACATTTATAGCAGATATTAGAGCCAACTTACACATATCAAAATAAAGAATGATTGTGAGTCATATAAACATTATCCAATACCTTCTTACTCATTTTGAGTAGGTTTTCTGTTTCTGTTTATTGTTGTTGCATTGAAACAATATATTAATACTGTTGAATTATTCTTCAGGTTGGAGAGCAAGCTACTGCCACCGAGTCTTCTGAGGCTGAGATCCCCAGTACTAGTGAGCCAGCTCCTCAGAGATCTTCAATCTCCAACACACAGGTACTTCTTCAATGGATTTTCCCCTTGACTTAATTTCCCTAATAATTCAGTATTTAACAATTGCCTGTTTTATTGATATTTGGTATTGGCATTTGATGGTTCAATTGGCTTTTCTGTAGATCAGTGTATCTCTGAATGTGTGCTGCTGAACACAGTCAGGTTTTTCTGATTAAATGGGGTCCAGTCAGGGGGCCTTCAGAGGAGTAGTCTCACCCTTTAGCAAAATACTCTCACACACACATGTCAGGGGTACTGTTGTTGTGGGGTCCACGTAACTGTTACAAGAACCACATTAAACTACACTTCTTTCTGTTTTTCTGACCATAAACTGAAGGAAACATCATGTTTGACATGTGTGCTCTAACGTTAGCTCAGTTTGCTTTGTACCAGTCATACCAACTGTACGTGAGAGGTCAATTCATGCTCCCAGACTTCACCTACACCTCTTTTTAACTGTTTGAGTTACATGAGGCAACACATTTATAGCAGACATCAGAGCCAACTTAACATATTAAAATATGAATAAGTATGACTCACCGAAACTTTAAACTATACCTCCTTACTCATTTTGAGTAAGTTTTCTGTTTATGTTTAGTGTTGTTGCATTGAAACAATATATTAATACTGTTGAATTATTCTTCAGGTTGGAGAGCAAGCTACTGCCACAGAGTCTTCTGAGGCTGAGATCCCCAGTACGAGTGAGCCAGCTCCTCAGAGATCTTCAATCTCCAACACACAGGTACTTCTTCAATGGATTTTCCCCTTGACATAATTTCCCTAATAATTCAGTATTTAACACTTGCCTGTTTTATTGATATTTGGTATTGGCATTTGATGGTTCAATTGGCTTTTCTGTAGATCAGTGTATCTCTGAATTTGTGCTGCTGAACACAGTCAGGTTTTTCTGATTAAATGGGGTCCAGTCAGGGGGCCTTTAGCAGAATATTCTCACACACACATGTCAGGGGTGCTGTTGTTGTGGGGTCCACGTAACTGTGTTACTAGAACCACATTAAACTATACTTATTTCTGTTTTTCTGACCATAAACTGAAGGAAACATCATGTTTGACATGTGTGCTCTAACGCTAGCTCAGTTTGCTTTGTACCAGTCATACCAACTGTACGTGAGAGGTCAATTCATGCTCCCAGACTTCACCTACACCTCTTTTTAACTGTTTGAGTTACATGAGGCAACACCTTTATAGCAGATATCAGAGCCAACTTACACATATCAAAATAAAGAATGATTGTGAGTCATATAAACATTATCCAATACCTACTTACTCATTTTGAGTAGGTTTTCTGTTTCTGTTTATTGTTGTTGCATTGAAACAATATATTAATACTGTTGAATTATTCTTCAGGTTGGAGAGCAAGCTACTGCCACCGAGTCTTCTGAGGCTGAGATCCCCAGTACTAGTGAGCCAGCTCCTCAGAGATCTTCAATCTCCAACACACAGGTACTTCTTCAATGGATTTTCCCCTTGACATAATTTCCCTAATAATTCAGTATTTAACAATTGCCTGTTTTATTGATATTTGGTATTGGCATTTGATGGTTCAATTGGCTTTTCTGTAGATCAGTGTATCTCTGAATGTGTGCTGCTGAACACAGTCAGGTTTTTCTGATTAAATGGGGTCCAGTCAGGGGGCCTTCAGAGGAGTAGTCTCACCCTTTAGCAGAATACTCTCACACACACATGTCAGGGGTGCTGTTGTTGTGGGGTCCACGTAACTGTGTTACTAGAACCACATTAAACTACACTTCTTTCTATTTTTCTGTCCATAAACTGAAGGAAACATCATGTTTGACATGTGTGCTCTAACGCTAGCTCAGTTTGCTTTGTACCAGTCATACCAACTGTACGTGAGAGGTCAATTCATGCTCCCAGACTTCACCTACACCTCTTTTTAACTGTTTGAGTTACATGAGGCAACACCTTTATAGCAGACATCAGAGACAACTTAACATATTAAAATAAGAATAAGTATGACTAACCGAAACTTTAAACTATACCTCCTTACTCATTTTGAGTAAGTTTTCTGTTTATGTTTAGTGTTTTTGCATTGAAACAATATATTAATACTGTTGAATTATTCTTCAGGTTGGAGAGCAAGCTACTGCCACCGAGTCTTCTGAGGCTGAGATCCCCAGTACGAGTGAGCCAGCTCCTCAGAGATCTTCAATCTCCAACACACAGGTACTTCTTCAATGGATTTTCCCCTTGACATAATTTCCCTAATAATTCAGTATTTAACACTTGCCTGTTTTATTGATATTTGGTATTGGCATTTGATGGTTCAATTGGCTTTTCTGTAGATCAGTGTATCTCTGAATTTGTGCTGCTGAACACAGTCAGGTTTTTCTGATTAAATGGGGTCCAGTCAGGGGGCCTTTAGCAGAATATTCTCACACACACATGTCAGGGGTGCTGTTGTTGTGGGGTCCACGTAACTGTGTTACTAGAACCACATTAAACTATACTTATTTCTGTTTTTCTGACCATAAACTGAAGGAAACATCATGTTTGACATGTGTGCTCTAACGCTAGCTCAGTTTGCTTTGTACCAGTCATACCAACTGTACGTGAGAGGTCAATTCATGCTCCCAGACTTCACCTACACCTCTTTTTAACTGTTTGAGTTACATGAGGCAACACCTTTATAGCAGATATCAGAGCCAACTTACACATATCAAAATAAAGAATGATTGTGAGTCATATAAACATTATCCAATACCTACTTACTCATTTTGAGTAGGTTTTCTGTTTCTGTTTATTGTTGTTGCATTGAAACAATATATTAATACTGTTGAATTATTCTTCAGGTTGGAGAGCAAGCTACTGCCACCGAGTCTTCTGAGGCTGAGATCCCCAGTACTAGTGAGCCAGCTCCTCAGAGATCTTCAATCTCCAACACACAGGTACTTCTTCAATGGATTTTCCCCTTGACATAATTTCCCTAATAATTCAGTATTTAACAATTGCCTGTTTTATTGATATTTGGTATTGGCATTTGATGGTTCAATTGGCTTTTCTGTAGATCAGTGTATCTCTGAATGTGTGCTGCTGAACACAGTCAGGTTTTTCTGATTAAATGGGGTCCAGTCAGGGGGCCTTCAGAGGAGTAGTCTCACCCTTTAGCAGAATACTCTCACACACACATGTCAGGGGTGCTGTTGTTGTGGGGTCCACGTAACTGTGTTACTAGAACCACATTAAACTACACTTCTTTCTATTTTTCTGTCCATAAACTGAAGGAAACATCATGTTTGACATGTGTGCTCTAACGCTAGCTCAGTTTGCTTTGTACCAGTCATACCAACTGTACGTGAGAGGTCAATTCATGCTCCCAGACTTCACCTACACCTCTTTTTAACTGTTTGAGTTACATGAGGCAACACCTTTATAGCAGACATCAGAGACAACTTAACATATTAAAATAAGAATAAGTATGACTAACCGAAACTTTAAACTATACCTCCTTACTCATTTTGAGTAAGTTTTCTGTTTATGTTTAGTGTTTTTGCATTGAAACAATATATTAATACTGTTGAATTATTCTTCAGGTTGGAGAGCAAGCTACTGCCACAGAGTCTTCTGAGGCTGAGATCCCCAGTACGAGTGAGCCAGCTCCTCAGAGATCTTCAATCTCCAACACACAGGTACTTCTTCAATGGATTTTCCCCTTGACATAATTTCCCTAATAATTCAGTATTTAACACTTGCCTGTTTTATTGATATTTGGTATTGGCATTTGATGGTTCAATTGGCTTTTCTGTAGATCAGTGTATCTCTGAATTTGTGCTGCTGAACACAGTCAGGTTTTTCTGATTAAATGGGGTCCAGTCAGGGGGCCTTTAGCAGAATATTCTCACACACACATGTCAGGGGTGCTGTTGTTGTGGGGTCCACGTAACTGTGTTACTAGAACCACATTAAACTATACTTATTTCTGTTTTTCTGACCATAAACTGAAGGAAACATCATGTTTGACATGTGTGCTCTAACGTTAGCTCAGTTTGCTTTGTACCAGTCATACCAACTGTTGGTGAGAGGTCAATTCATGCTCCCAGACTTCACCTACACCTCTTTTTAACTGTTTGAGTTACATGAGGCAACACCTTTATAGCAGATATCAGAGCCAACTTACACATATCAAAATAAAGAATGATTGTGAGTCATATAAACATTATCCAATACCTACTTACTCATTTTGAGTAGGTTTTCTGTTTATGTTTATTGTTGTTGCATTGAAACAATATATTAATACTGTTGAATTATTCTTCAGGTTGGAGAGCAAGCTACTGCCACCGAGTCTTCTGAGGCTGAGATCCCCAGTACTAGTGAGCCAGCTCCTCAGAGATCTTCAATCTCCAACACACAGGTACTTCTTCAATGGATTTTCCCCTTGACTTAATTTCCCTAATAATTCAGTATTTAACAATTGCCTGTTTTATTGATATTTGGTATTGGCATTTGATGGTTCAATTGGCTTTTCTGTAGATCAGTGTATCTCTGAATGTGTGCTGCTGAACACAGTCAGGTTTTTCTGATTAAATGGGGTCCAGTCAGGGGGCCTTCAGAGGAGTAGTCTCACCCTTTAGCAGAATACTCTCACACACACATGTCAGGGGTGCTGTTGTTGTGGGGTCCACGTAACTGTGTTACTAGAACCACATTAAACTACACTTCTTTCTATTTTTCTGTCCATAAACTGAAGGAAACATCATGTTTGACATGTGTGCTCTAACGCTAGCTCAGTTTGCTTTGTACCAGTCATACCAACTGTACGTGAGAGGTCAATTCATGCTCCCAGACTTCACCTACACCTCTTTTTAAATGTTTGAGTTACATGAGGCAACACCTTTATAGCAGATATCAGAGACAACTTAACATATTAAAATAAGAATAAGTATGACTCACCGAAACTTTAAACTATACCTCCTTACTCATTTTGAGTAAGTTTTCTGTTTATGTTTAGTGTTGTTGCATTGAAACAATATATTAATACTGTTGAATTATTCTTCAGGTTGGAGAGCAAGCTACTGCCACAGAGTCTTCTGAGGCTGAGATCCCCAGTACGAGTGAGCCAGCTCCTCAGAGATCTTCAATCTCCAACACACAGGTACTTCTTCAATGGATTTTCCCCTTGTCTTAATTTCCCTAATAATTCAGTATTTAACACTTGCCTGTTTTATTGATATTTGGTATTGGCATTTGATGGTTCAATTGGCTTTTCTGTAGATCAGTGTATCTCTGAATTTGTGCTGCTGAACACAGTCAGGTTTTTCTGATTAAATGGGGTCCAGTCAGGGGGCCTTTAGCAGAATATTCTCACACACACATGTCAGGGGTGCTGTTGTTGTGGGGTCCACGTAACTGTGTTACTAGAACCACATTAAACTATACTTATTTCTGTTTTTCTGACCATAAACTGAAGGAAACATCATGTTTGACATGTGTGCTCTAACGCTAGCTCAGTTTGCTTTGTACCAGTCATACCAACTGTACGTGAGAGGTCAATTCATGCTCCCAGACTTCACCTACACCTCTTTTTAAATGTTTGAGTTACATGAGGCAACACCTTTATAGCAGACATCAGAGCCAACTTACACATATCAAAATAAAGAATGATTGTGAGTCATATAAACATTATCCAATACCTACTTACTCATTTTGAGTAGGTTTTCTGTTTCTGTTTATTGTTGTTGCATTGAAACAATATATTAATACTGTTGAATTATTCTTCAGGTTGGAGAGCAAGCTACTGCCACCGAGTCTTCTGAGGCTGAGATCCCCAGTACTAGTGAGCCAGCTCCTCAGAGATCTTCAATCTCCAACACACAGGTACATCTTCAATGGATTTTCCCCTTGACATAATTTCCCTAATAATTCAGTATTTAACAATTGCCTGTTTTATTGATATTTGGTATTGGCATTTGATGGTTCAATTGGCTTTTCTGTAGATCAGTGTATCTCTGAATGTGTGCTGCTGAACACAGTCAGGTTTTTCTGATTAAATAGGGTCCAGTCAGGGGGCCTTCAGAGGAGTAGTCTCACCCTTTAGCAAAATACTCTCACACACACATGTCAGGGGTACTGTTGTTGTGGGGTCCACGTAACTGTGTTACAAGAACCACATTAAACTACACTTCTTTCTATTTTTCTGTCCATAAACTGAAGGAAACATCATGTTTGACATGTGTGCTCTAACGCTAGCTCAGTTTGCTTTGTACCAGTCATACCAACTGTACGTGAGAGGTCAATTCATGCTCCCAGACTTCACCTACACCTCTTTTTAAATGTTTGAGTTACATGAGGCAACACCTTTATAGCAGATATCAGAGACAACTTAACATATTAAAATAAGAATAAGTATGACTAACCGAAACTTTAAACTATACCTCCTTACTCATTTTGAGTAAGTTTTCTGTTTATGTTTAGTGTTGTTGCATTGAAACAATATATTAATACTGTTGAATTATTCTTCAGGTTGGAGAGCAAGCTACTGCCACCGAGTCTTCTGAGGCTGAGATCCCCAGTACGAGTGAGCCAGCTCCTCAGAGATCTTCAATCTCCAACACACAGGTACTTCTTCAATGGATTTTCCCCTTGTCTTAATTTCCCTAATAATTCAGTATTTAACACTTGCCTGTTTTATTGATATTTGGTATTGGCATTTGATGGTTCAATTGGCTTTTCTGTAGATCAGTGTATCTCTGAATTTGTGCTGCTGAACACAGTCAGGTTTTTCTGATTAAATGGGGTCCAGTCAGGGGGCCTTTAGCAGAATACTCTCACACACACATGTCAGGGGTGCTGTTGTTGTGGGGTCCACGTAACTGTGTTACTAGAACCACATTAAACTACACTTCTTTCTATTTTTCTGTCCATAAACTGAAGGAAACATCATGTTTGACATGTGTGCTCTAACGCTAGCTCAGTTTGCTTTGTACCAGTCATACCAACTGTACGTGAGAGGTCAATTCATGCTCCCAGACTTCACCTACACCTCTTTTTAACTGTTTGAGTTACATGAGGCAACACCTTTATAGCAGATATCAGAGCCAACTTACACATATCAAAATTAAGAATGATTATGAGTCATATAAACATTATCCAATACCTCCTTACTCATTTTGCAACACATAATTGATTATTTTGTATATCTGGTTTTCAGAGGGTCAAGTCACATCCACTCAGATGGAGGAGAATAAAACAACAATGAGAGATGGGAGCAATACAGATGAAGCATTGCAACAGGGCCCCATGACACCTCCACCAGCCGTTCAACCACAGACCCAGAGAAGGCAAAAAGGTCAACTTTTTAGACCATACTTTGTTACTGAATGCTCTTCCATGGTTGATGTAATGTTTCATGGTTCTACACTGACATCTTTTAGATCTGCTTGTGTATAATGTCAACTCTTTTGAATATATAACATTACATTTTGCATCCTCTTATTTGCTCTCTCGCATTTTCAGTTACTGGTGTAATATTGAAAGCAATTTTTCTTTGTTTCAATCCAATGTAAAAGGGTTATTTTAAACGCATTAGAAAATGTATACCTAGTTTAGCACCAGGCTTATGCAGTTAGTTTTGGTGCGTTTATTTGTGAGGTTTTGAGATATTCTCCTCTGAAACTTTCGCAAAAAAAGCTTCCGTCCACACGCAATAGACACCGGATAGTGTCTTGCCACACGAGACAGCTCCGTTTAGCTCCAACCGCTGGAAAAGCTGCAGTACATATGCCGAGCCTGTACGTGGCGCTGTAACTTCCTCCACAAAAGCAGCAACTTCCTCCACAAAAGCAGCGAAGAAGAATGGTTGTCATGGCTGCACTTCTGTTTATTCTCCTTGGTGGGAGCCGACGGAACCGGGCAGAGTTTTTCGCCGGTCAACGTGTGTTAAATTCAGCGTCAGCGTCTGTCTCATGCAGCAGCTGATCCAGTAATGAGTGACCCGACAGTAAAAATAAACATATTTATAACTAGTTTAGGTAGTTTGAGAGGTAATTAAAATAGCTAAGGGTGATGATCTGACTTGAAGTGTGTGTTTTGCTCCCGCTGCATCACAGCGGGAGGAGCTGCGTGTCTCCGTCCTGTCAGATTAGACTTCACTCGCGTTTATGTCCATATCGAGAGAAAGATAAATAATCTGAATTCAGTGTGCAGTGTACTTTGACGCGGGGGTGAGCAGCAGAGGCGGGGCTATTGCGTCATCATTATCAGAAAATGATCGTATAGGGGCGATCACACGGAGCCGTTGGACCCCCCAGAGCGCTCCGTTTGCAGATCTATCCACCTTGGGACCCGTTATCGTTTGCGGGGTCCGTTTCTATCGTTTAGTTACGGCCTCGTGTGGCAAAAAGGGCTATACGCAAGAGAAATATGCGGATACAACCCGTTTTCGTCCTTGTGGGGCACCAGCCTAAATCTCATCTCTTTTTTGTAATCTTCCTTTCATCTCAACTACCTTATCATCTCTTCTAGTTTCTCATATTATCTTGTTTTTTTCTTAACACAATTTAATCTTGTCCCTTTTCACACTTTCAATTTCCTTATTTCTTTCAATGTCCCAAATATCACATCTGGTGTCCTCGTCTGTATCTACCATTTTATTGTGTCATTACCTTTGAATCGCATATCATTACTTAAGTAATCTCCCTTCATGTCTAACATAAAAGTTTTGAAGGTTAAATTCTTCCAGTGACCTTACACCCTCATTTAAATCAGCCACAAGTTGTTTTTGAAGTCCTTTTTGGGACCTCTGTTATATAATAATGCCGTTCTTAAATGGCGATACCTTTTTGTGTACACTGAATACAGTTCTTCTTTTGAAAATTAAAAGTCTAATAACGACAATCTCCTTGTATTTACTGGAAAGCTCTATAATAACATTGTATTGCTTAAATGGAAATTACAATTACTATTTAAGCAGAATAGCCTTATAAGCATGACTTATATGGCTTCAATAATTAACACTTAGAACACAAACCCCTCTTTATTTAAAAAGAAGGAAACTGATGCAAATTCAGTAAATGTACTGTGAGTCTCATTCACGAGTTCAGACATCCCAGTGTAACAGTGGGTAAATAGACTAATAAAAAACATTACTATAATAGCTTAAATATTAATTAAAATGCTATCAGTACATTGGAATTCAATATAATTGTGTCACTCAACAGAAGCTACATGTTGACACTAAAGGTGAAAATCATTCTGCATCATGATAGCCCTCACTTTGACAGTCAAAGGTGTTTCATTGTTACCTAAAGTAAGTTTAGTAATACAGTGTGCAAAGTGACCCCACTAATGTTTTAAACCAGACAGTGTATTTTTGGAGCCCACACATGACTAAAAGCTAGACAGTGTGTATATATGGACCCCTCCTGTAACTCTGTACCTGACAAGACCCCATGAAACGGGTTATAGTCCGGTCAGTGACCTCTACTTTCTCTGATTGATAATTTGAAGTGAAATCTTTGTTTGTGTCCACTTCAGGATTCTGCCTGATTTTTTACAGTGCTGTACAACCTTCAGAAAGGGTGGATCCCAAAAGTGATGGTCTGGTCAGGTACCCCCAGAATGCAATAAAGACAGGGATGTGTGTGTGTGTGTGTGTGTGTGTGTGTGTGTGTGTGTGTGTGTGTGTGTGTGTGTGTGTGTGTGTGTGTGTGTGTGTGTGTGTGTGTGTGTGTGTGTGTGAGTGTGTGTGTGTGTGCGTGTGTGTGTGTGTGTGTGTGTGTGTCCTTGCCTGTATTCAGGACAGAGATGGCATGCCAGGAGAGGTAGAGCAGGGACAGGGGGGCAGAATTTTCGGCCTCCAGTTACCATGGAGACATCCATGGCGACCTGTGGCGGGGCCGCGGGACTCACTCTTGTCGTGGGTCGGGGCTTTGCTGTGGAGAGCAGTGAGGGGCAGGGGGGAGAGGCAAGATTAGAGGGGCAAGTGGGGAGGAGATGTGGTATGTGTTCATATCACTCATGTAAAGTCCCCTCCTCACATTGTGTGTGTGCAAACAATGAGCCATGGCTTTCAAACACTGTATAGTCCATATATGCATTGTGGGGTCAAATGCATGCCTGTTATGAACTCTAAAATATGCAAAATCTGCGATCACTAATATATGTTTTGAGATGTTTTTAGCACACTACTGACATTTTGGTGTTGTCTGTTTTCTAAAGCATTCCTCTCCTTGCCATTGAAATTCACCTTCTTTGATTCAAATGTCACTCTCTTTTTCTTTCAGACTCTTTTTTAAACCTTCTTTTATCATGCAATTGGGGAGACTAGTTTCTTTTTTTGTTCTGTGAATAAAAGGACCTGAATATCTTCTCTCCCTCATTCACCCCCTATAACACTTCTCTGTCCAATCTGCAATTCAATTAATATTAATCTTCACCACGTCAATTGGTGCATGATAATTAATACAGCATATTTTGCTATATAAGTATACAGAAGTATGCAGTATACACTAGTACATTAGACATTAGTGTTATATAGCAGAGGACCTGTTATATGCTGTTGATTCTTAACCATTCAATCTGTATAGTGATTCATATTTTGAATCTTGAAATTTTCTAAATTTAACATTTTTCCTTTGATTTTCAGCCGACTTTTAAGATGGTTGAGAACCAAAATAATTCATATTTTCTTGTGTTTATACATGAAATTGGAAAAATACATTTTTAAAAAGGTCAACATTAATTAGAAATCTTACAAATCTGGCTATGTGGGATTTCATTTGCAGTACATCATTTTAAGATTTTTAAAATAAATGTAAAATTAAACAAATATTCAATGAAAGAAGGAACCTTATTAAAATAATATAATATATTAGTAATACATAATAATAACATATTAAAAAGGAAATACATTTTGGGAGTTGGCCCAATAGCCGTAGCGCCACTTTCCTGACGTCAGTAAAGTGTTCAAATCTGGATCAGTTTTTATCAGATCCGTTGCAGCCCCTTTTTTAGAGATTTGGGTATGGAGGAAAATAGAGAGGGTTGTGTTTTCTGACACTTGGTGAGTTCCCTGGAACACCGGGGACACATATTCATGTAGAAAAGACGTGCAAAAGTGCATTTTGCATGATAGGTCACCTTTAAACCAATGCTCACATGATTGTTACAATACTCGACTTTGACCTATGTGTCCGAGAGAGAATATCATTTAATGGCTGACATCATTTTTTAAAACTGGGTACAGCCGAACGTCACCACACAGACCATGGCATTATCAAAATGTCACATAGTAAAATAATGAAAGCTTTCTTTAATTAATTTAATGTGCTGAGGCAGCCAAGCATATGAGGCACTCACTTTTTTTTTAGGCCAAGTGAAAATCATTTTTGATACAAAGATAACTAGGATTTTAACATACACTACGGTGCCTTGAATGCTTTTCAGACTGCAAGACAATACCAAAGAGTTGGACATTCTTATTCGACTTGCCTACATGTCCTATCCTGGAAGAGAACCTGATTTATTACATTCACATCACAAACTATTTGACCCAGTACAACACACCCTGTTTTTCTTTAACTATATTTCCCTATTGATTCGACAATGACACAATTCCACTTTATAACCAAATAATTCTAATACGCAACTCCATGGATTCCTCTTACTTTTTTCAGTTTTTCCAAATACATTTAACTCAGACACAAATAAGCCTATACCTTACTTGAAGATCCTATAGAAGCAAATACCTATTAACCTATTGTCAAAACACAATGCTTAACCCTATTGGAGACATCTTTGCTAATATAACTGTCACTGATGTTACTGATAAATTGTTTAGTTTGTTTATTTTTTGGTGTTTCACTTGAAGACATTTTCTGCAATTTCTTCAGTTGCTTCGTAAGTTTAACTGACAAACCGGCTTTGTGGCTCACATGTTGTGTGCCACAAATACTCTCACGTAAAAATTGTTGTCATTGTTCAGAACTAGAGAACACAGGTGGGAAGAAAACGAGTGTTAAAACGTGAAAGCATGAGATAAAAGTAGATTTTCTTTATTAGAAATGTAATATTGTATTCTATTTTGTTTTTATTGTGGCTCTATAGTTAAAGTACGACTTTTTAAGACAACATTTAAGTGACACGGGTTTCACAATCAGCAGCAGTAAGTTTCCAGCTCTGTGGATTTATGGTCATGTAGCACCTTCCCCCTCTACTTAAGGTTACTACAGAGTGAACTCACGGACCCACCCATGCATTGCTGTATGCAAACATGTCAATATGTATATTCCACACACACACACACACACACACACACACACACACACACACACACACACACACCTTAACTGTCTTGCATTTATATGTATACATTTAATTATCTGTTTGTAAATGACTTACTTTTTATCTTATGTTATTGTTGTTATTCGTAATCATCATCTGTACTATCCTGTGTTTACTTCTTATTTTATCGCTGCTATGACACCTGAATTTTCCTACAGTGATTAATTAAGATCTTTTTTTTATCTCAATCTTGATATGTATTGGTATTTTCTCTCCTAGTAAGACTGTAATCACATGTAGTGTAGCAATGCTGGATTTTACTGGTATTTTCAAATAGGACATTTCCGATTAAAGAATGAGTAGCAGTGGAGGCTTCTAAGCCCGTCCAATTTTAGGGTGAAGGATTTTTGTCATTGTATCTTTTAGTTAGAATTAAGATCGCTAC